CTCTGAATTTTGTGGCGTTATCGAGCTTAATGAGTCACTTTGGGACCTAAAGTTAGGGTCGAACTATTGTATGAAAAATATTTTTCAGAAAATTATTAATAAATNGAGTCACTTTGGGACCTAAAGTTAGGGTCGAACTATTGTATGAAAAATATTTTTCAGAAAATTATTAATAAATATTAATTTTTTTTATAAATATACATTAACTCCTATCATTTTTATTTTATATCAATGAAGTCCTATTTTTAATATTTTATTTCAATTAAGTCCTAATTTTATTATATTTCAATTTTATCCTCACTCTTTAGTTACTAAAACTCTTTCATTCTTTTGCATTCTTAGAATCAATTAATAGGATATTGCAATGTTTGAATCTATAACAACATTAAAATGAAATTAATCGACAAATATTATCGATATTTTTTTTAATCATTCTTATTTTATACAATAATTGGTAAATATTTTCTAGGATTTTAAGATTAGGTATCCCAATTATATAAGAAAATAAGAAAATGTGTATTTTCTTTGAGTCCTATTATGGAGTTTAGGTTACCTAAGTTTTTTTTGGGATTTCGATGTTAATTTTGTAAGTAAGAAATTTTTGTCCTCTTAATTGGTTTTAAGAATGCAAAAGAATGAAAGGATTTTGGTAACTAAAGGGAAAGGATAAAATTGAAATATAATGAAATTAGGACTTAATTAAAATAAAATATCAAGAATAGGACTTCATTGATATAATACAAAAATGATATTAGAAAATAGATTTTTGAGGGAAAAAGTAACAATTATTGATAAGTTTCCCAATATTTTTTAAAATTCAATACTTTCAGGTTTTGTCAAATAACAAAATGGTAAATGTAAGTTTTCGTATTTTATTATTTTTTAATCAATAATTGCAAATCATCTAAATCAAAATCAGTGACCGTAGCCGTAGATCAATTTTGATACCATATATTAACAATATCGTAGTCTTTCTGTAAAGTTAACAATGCCAATTTTCTAGCACTTTCGACCAATACCTGTTTTGGGGATTTCTCACCAATCTCTCCACTATAAATTGAGGTGAAACCTAAGCCAAATATAGCTTGTATCTCTCTCTTCTCTCTCTCTCTCTCTCTCTCTCTCTCTAAATCCCATAAAGGTTTTTTGGGGCCACATTTAACTGAGAGAAAATGAAGGCATCACACATAGTAGTGTGTACTGTTCTGGTGCTGCTCTTGGCTGAATCACAAGTCTCAGTGGCAGTGACATGTACCCCATCACAGCTGAGCCCTTGCATGCCTGCAATCACCTCATCAGCACCACCAACTAAATTGTGCTGCAGCAGGATCAAGGAACAAAAGCCCTGCCTCTGCCAGTACCTCAAGAACCCAAATCTTAGGAAGTTTATCAATTCTCCTAATGCCAGGAAGGTTGCTACTACTTGTGGGGTTCCTATCCCCAAGTGTTAAGGGCCTCCTTGCCTATAGGGACAATTTCTCTCTCTCTTAGTGCTTCTTGCTAGTGCTTCGCAGTCTTGGAGGTACAGAGAGACTCAGCTTAATATTCCAATATTTTGTTTAATCTCTGATCTTTTTGGAGATCGCTTTGTGGGCACTAGTTATGACGAGAATAAAATTTTACTCTCTTTATTTCCCTGTTCTTGCTACATTGTTGGAGTGACAGAAAACTGTGAAATTCTCTCTTCTGGTGTGGTCTGCCTTATGCGGTTGTACTAAAGGCATACAACTTATAATAGATCTAAAGTTGGTATCTCTCTCTCTGCTGATATGATCTGTTGGAAATGGCGAAGATTTTTTCGGTTTGAGGAGAAATTGCTCATGTTTTTTCACCTTTTATGAAGCATAAGAAAATGAAGCTATGTACGAAGAGCAATGCTATAGGGACCTTAATGATGTAGTTTCAATATAACTATTGGATTAGTCATGAGTTGCAATGTTAGATAAAGCCCACAATCAATCCAATTATTGTACATCACTAGGTTCTCATATTAGATCCTCAAATTAAGTTCAAATAGAATTTTTCATGTACCAAGTATCCATCCTATCACACTTTTTGTTAGGATAGATTTCACTAGCACCCCCTAAAAAATAGCCTAATTGCAAGGACACCTTATGATTTTTGAAATATCACTAGCTCCTCGTGTCAAATTTTGCTATTAACAGAAAAGATAGAAATTCTACTTTTTCATAATTACCCTTAACAGAAAAATTCTTTTTAGGGAAAATTTCATCTATACCTCCTCTAGTTAGGTTTAAATTTAATGACATCCCCTCCCAATTCTGAAACTTCACTGCACCCCCCTCTGGTTTATACTTTCAAATCAAATATACCCCTTTAATGGTAATTTTTAACTCTTCCAGTACAAAAAATAACAGTTTGACTATAAATTTTTTGAAAATATCAAAACGACCATTCCTTAAGTAAATATATTAAAATGTCATTAACTCCTTTTCCACTATATATACTATACCTTTTGTTATTTGTGAAGGTCCAAAATGATTTGGGGTTGTTAGAAGACATACGGGACTGAAGTCAACCATTATTCTTTAACCCGTTCTTGTAATGCCTCAAAATCTACCTATGACGACATTATTATTTAAAATCATTCACCTCATGAGAGCAACTAATAAAACTCATTCAATAAAGAAAATTTCATTCATCATATATAATATTTACAATCTCATCCCAAAAGAATATGTCAAATCATGGCAATTACATCCCAAAATAATCAACCTTAATTTCGCAACGGAATAACAAAATATTAGACTTCATATTGTCTCAAAATAAATCTCCTAGTCTAGAACATAAGAGAGCCTAGCTCTAAACATTCATCTCGGGATCCACGTTCCCATCTAGTGGAGCTTCCCAATGTGCCGGCTCGTCAATTCCGGGCTCCTCCTCTAGGCCATAATCAGAAAAAAAATATTGTTTGTAGGGGGGTAGCACGAAGCTCTGTAAGAAAAATCCTCCCAAACTTAAACAAAGTTTGGAAAACAGATAAAACAAGTCGGTCTCATTTCACAAACACCATATATCAATTTTGAAAGAAAAATCGGGACATTTTAATGAATATCAAGTTTACACAATAGCAATACTTAAATAAAAGAATAAAAACAATTTCCAATAATAAGTCATTTTCAACCATAAACTATTTCCAACAAGTTCTTGTAATAAACCATTTTCACAACAATAACCAATCACCCACAATTTGTACCATTACCCACCATGTATCTCAGTATGATGTATGACATCGCATTAACAAACACATCGAGAATACCCTGACCCACACACACACACACCCGATTCTCACAAGGATATCAACATTTTAGGAAGGACGTGTACCAATTCATGACAGTCACGAAATCCAACCCAGGAATAGTATACTATCCCTCATCCTCGGTACCCGTGAGTGAATAGTGGTTTGGTCCTCATAAGGCACCAACTCTACTACGAGTGGTAGGAAAAATTCAAATCCACACAGAGTAAGAAACGCATCTACCCACTCTACGATATCCGGTCAACGGTCACCCATGGTCATCCAAACATCGACAAGAGATACAATATCCAACTAATTTCTCAAATAACAAACCAAAACCCAAAATCCTAAAATTTCCCATATATCCTTCCAATAGAACAAATTATGAAAATATGCGAGAGATCATCATAAATGTTATTTTATTTTTCAATACAAAACACTAAAGTTTTGAAATCAAGAGCAAATGGAAAATCAAGAGAAAAATATATTTCTCTTGAGAACTAGGGTTTGAAGGCAAGAAAAGAGATTTAATGGTTATCCAACCAAAATATTGTTTAAAACATGGTAATACTTGCAAGAATATCAAGAATCAAAGATTTCATAGCATACATACACGATTTAGAGTCAAAAGAATACATATAAGCCCTAGTCTCAATGTAAGAGAATAGGAGAAACCCCTACCTTTGAATCAAAGTTACAAGCTAAATCCTAAGTTCTAGAGACTTCCTTCCTCCCTTTTCTCTTTTCTTTTTATCTTCTCCTAGGGTTCTAAAAGGTTTGGGGTGAAAGTGGAGTGAAAGAATGGGAGAAAATGGGTTGAGAATGGTGTTTTAAACCCAGCAATTCCCGAATTTTACTATTCATGGGCTGAATTTTGGGTTTTTCTCTAATTTTACGGTTTTGCCACTAAAATTCTCTAATTTGATCCATATGACTATCCTAAGGTTTTTCGAAGTTCCGAATTCATTTTTAATGTTATTTTAACTTAAGAACATTTAGTTTAATGATTTATCTTTATACTAAAGTAAATTTACGCTCGAAACACTAAACTGACTATTTTATTCCTTCGAACGACTATTACATCGATTGACCCATTCGAGGTCTAACCTACCATCATTGGTACTCTATCATTGTCCATTTATAACATTGGAATGAAAGAATACATAGCCCAAAAGCTTGGCAAAACAGTTTAGAAATTTCTAATTTTTAGAAAGTGTACCGATACGTTTTGCCTTCTGGACAAGGTTGTACCGATACGCGTACCAGTACACTTTGCCCAGATTTGCCTATATCACTAGTTTTTTACTTCCCATCCATCTTAAACCTCTCCTAAACCAACCCAAACTTATACAACATACTTTTTTGTACATCAAACACAGTTGGCACAAGTTCTATTACAACCAATTTTATGTATTTACTTGTTATATATAAAGATAAGAGTGTGGGGGTTTACAGTTCTCTATAGTGAATGATCAGTACCTAAGTTGGTAAAAAAAATATTTTTTCTTGCAAATTTATAAATTTTTTTCATGCAGATTTTTTAAAATTTTTTCAAGTAGTTTTTTTTCCACTATATATACTATACATTTTGTTGTTTGAGAAAGTCCAAAACGATATGGGGTTAGTGGAAGACATACGGGACCGAAGCCAGCCATTATTCTTCAGGTCGTTCTCTGTAGCAATCGATTACTACCTAAATTGGTAAAAACAAATTATTTTTTTCTTGCAAATTTGTAAATGTTTTTCATGCAGATGTTTAAAAAAAATTTCAAGCAATTTTTTTAAAAATTTTTTTCATGCAGTTTTTTAATTTTTTTATGCAAATTGTTTTTTAAAAAAATTCATCCAAAACACCCGTTAGAATTTTAAAGTTATTAAGTCCATTTTTCTTATAAGTTGTTCAGTAAGAGGTACACTTTTCAGTTTCTTATTTTCTTATATTACATAAATTTCTTCTATGATATGCTTTTTTGTTGTTCGTTATAATTATAGGGTTTTAAATTTATTTTATAGTTAAAAATAATTTTTTTTATAATAAAATTACAAGCGATAAAGTTAATGTCAAAATTTCATCTATTTCTAACTTCTTTACTATCATCTATTTTCCACAACGTCACCTGACCACTCTTCTACATCACCCTTCATATATAAAATTTTTATTTGATAAAATTTAATATTAATTAAATAAATTTGATCTTAATATGATAATTTAAATATTAATTTGGTTTTAATTAGATAAAATTAAATTTAATTTAGTTTTGATTTGATAAAATTTATTGTTAATTAAATAAATTTAAATGTTGCTTTAATAAAATTGAATGTTCATTTGTTGTTAAATTAAATAACTGACATTAATTTGATAAGTTTAAATGTTTAACTAATAGAATTTAATATTCTACTTAATATATTAAATTTTAATTTAATAAAAGTAAATATCAATTTGGTGTTAATTTGATGAAATTAGATAATAATTTAATGTTAAATTAAAGAAAAAATATTAGTTTGATGAAATAAAATATTAAATTAATATAAATAAATTCTAATTTGATAAAATTAAATATCAATTTGTGTTGATTTGATGAGATAAAATATTAATTTAGTTTAAATTAAATAAAGAACATTAATTTGATAAAATTAAATATTAAATTGATGAATCTAAAGATTAATATAATAAAACTAAAATGAGTGTATTGAAATTTCAGAATCATGAGGGGTATTGTTAAAGATAGGTCTATTTACAGGATGTGTCGTTGAAGTTATGTCTATTTACAGAGGATGTTGTTGAAGTTATGTCTATTTACAAGGGGTGTGGATAAAATTTATCGGATAAAATATTCAAGGGTATTTTTATAAATTAACAATCGTCGTTAACGCTGTAATCCGACAAACATTGACATGGGTTGACAGTGAAGTTTTAGAATTGAGAGGGGGTGTTATTGAATTTAGACTTAATTACAAGGGGTGTGGATGAAATTTTTCCTTCTTTTTACTCATTTACCCTTAACAAAACATTAAATTTCATTAATTCAAAATTTAATTTTTTTAAAATCAATTTTCAATTTTACCAAATTTATCAATTTTAATTTCATCAATTAATTTTATCAGTTGACATTTACTACTTTCATTAATTCAAATATTAATTTCATCACATTACCACTAATTTCATCAATTTAAC